GCATTATTTAAAAAAAAAAAGGGACAGTAGCGTAATAAGGTATTTCTGCAAATGAAGGAAATATTAAAAAATATAAGGTCTTCCCTTGGGAAAGTTTGGGGGTTTTTCCACTGCTCAAGATTTTTTCTATGCTTTTTTCAGTGACTGTTTTCCAATGAATGTTTTTAGTTACCTTCTTATTCACTCTTTTTACGTTCCAGGTGTTTATAGCTATTTTTTATTATTAGTTGATCATTTACTATAGCACCTCAAACCCATTACCATACTACTAACGGGAACAAAAAAAATGACAAAGGAATTAACCATAAAATTGCCTACCTGGAAATGCATATGATAAAACAAACTTGGACATTTTAAGTGCTAATTTTGGTCTGTAAAACAAAGTCAAGTTACTTTCCAATGTTATTGTATGTTTCTAAGCAGAGCCAGACTCTTCCTAGAGTATCCAGTTAGAAAATTGTGTAAGCATAGACAGCACATAGGTTCTATCACCACAATGTAAAGATTCCACTTCTCTGTTCCCAGTTATATGATTTCTCCCTGAAATCAGTGAAGGGGTGAAAAGACACACTTCAGGCCTGAAGTCAATTCTCTTGCACAAATCAGAATTTTGGCCATAAAGTTAATTTCTTGTTGGAGGTAGGCTTCCCACATAATTTCTCTTTTGTGTCAATTTGTTCAGCCTTCTCTTCATTATCAATTAATGCACCTTCTGATTCTTAATGACATGCAAGCCATCACATGCTGAATATAATAGCCTTCTCTAAGGAGAACAAGAAATGAGGAAACAAATGCAAGCAAGCATACCAAAAATCCAAAATGTTTTATGTCTTCCAAGCTTCCTGTCAGCTCCAAGGGAAGACAGAGTTTAAGAGAAATAAAATGGACTTATATTTACTTTCTGTCAGAAGTACTAAAAGGGGGAGAGGGATTTTCTGCTCAAAATGAAGCAATAGGCACAATAGAAGATGAGGTGTAAAGCATCTGTTCTTCCCCTCTATTTTCCTAGCACATCAGCAAGAAGATAATCAGGATTTGGCAAGGTATCTTCCTCTCTCCTGTGTTCTTCACACTTCACAAACTGAAGTTACAATTCCAATCCTGAGTATTCCAGTAAGACTTCATATTTTTCTACATTATGGCACTTTTACATCCCTCAAGCGCTTCTTCAAGCCCTGCAAGTGCAGAGGGAGCAGTACAGCAGCATGTCACACGTGGTGCAGAATGGCAACTAACTGGTGCAGACCTTGAGGAACAGTGCAGGGAGGAAAGGCTGCTCTGAAAGGATGCCCTTGTGTGTCCTTACAGCAGCACGACAACAGTTGTTTAACATGTGCATCTTAAGGAGCTGCATCAACCAAAAATGCTGCATAAACTGAACAGTGTATCAGTAGTGTGCATCTATTCAGAAAGACAAAAGATTTAGTTAAATTGGGTAATTCCCGATTCTGTTCATCTTTCATAGGAATTTAGCTCAAAGTCAAAAAAGAGAGAAAAGATGGTATAACATTTGAGAAGCTGTCAAGAATCCCGGTGATTATTTTCAGCCCTATAATTTCTTTCAGCTCCAGTAAGAAAGGTAAAGTTGCCTGCAAAATCTTTGTTCTCCGGAGCATTCTCAAAGTATGTGCTGCTATAAACAGTCACTTAAAACCTGCATTTATATCCACTGTATTTTATTTCTTACCCTTGCAAGCCACCGGTATGTAGTGAAACTAAATATGCCAACTTCTACATTGAATGTAGGCTTTGTACGATACACAATTTAAAAGACAGTTAATGTGGGACATACAGTGATGGGTAGTTATGGTTAAGCCAGAAGTAATTTTTCTAACTAAAGAGTATAGTAACAGTAGAGCCAGAAAAGTGCAGAAAGCTTTGTCATACACAAAATTCTCATCTGCTAAGATCATACCAATCCATAAAGGAAAAACAGAGCTTGTTGCAGCCATAGTTATTGTAAATCCAGATGCTGTCTTCCCTTGAGATAACAGAAAAATAGGCACTGTAAAAGATGGATGTACATGATGAAGGTTAAAATTCAAAAGCTCAAGACCAGTCTCAGGGCAATAAAAGGAGGGCCCAGTAATGAATAATATACCTTCTGACAAATATAATTTAGCAATAAATGCTTCTGAATCTTCTTCTATGGCTTATACATGCCTCAGAAGAATTAGAGAAATACACCTAGGAAAGTATTTTCAGATACACTCCAACGATGTTTTACTGGCCTGTGTTTATTATAGTTTTGTTTCCAAATGTTGTAATTGAAAACCCTACCCTTTTCTTTTTTTGAAAATCAGTTCATTTCTCATATTTAAGCATGGTGCTAAGATTTATTGCAGATAACCACAGAGCACATTAGCCCAAAAGAAACACATTCAGATTTAAAAGCTCTGACACAGGACAAGTTTGGGAGAATCAGAAGCTGTTTTCTCACCAAGCTACAAGTATTTGCCAAGTGCCAGCTATTAAGGTAAATCCTTGTTACTAGGCCTACATCAAAGCTCTTCTGATAAAGAAAAGCTTTCGCTTTAAGTAATCCATGTCACAGCAATTTTGTTATTTAAGTCTACTACAGCAGTACCTAGCATCTGAAAACCAGAGCTGAACTCATATATGCCAAGAGATACTCTGCTCTGCAAAGACTTAATTTTCTGCTGGTGCACATTTTGTGTGCAGTGTCACTGGTGAAGCCTGGTTTCCTGGGATGCCTTCTCCCCATTTTGCAGGTTTGGGAAGTTCAGCATGAACTTGGATATAGAGAAAGAAGGTCATCTTCTTTTTCATAAATACTGTGTATTTACCCACAAGCTATTAATAGTATTGATAAAGTGACATGAACTGTTTTATTAGATCAGAACTGTACCCTGGTCCTGTATCTGTCTAGCAGCAATCAAGGACTTCTACTGTACTTCTCTGCACTGCTATAGTACTCTTATAGACATTACTTTTAACATCAAAAATTTATTAAAAAAACTTCAAAAGAATTGCACAGAAGTGAAATAAAATTTACAGAATGGTACTTCAAGTAGTTTATCATCCAATTAATGCTGTCTTCTGCACAATGGAGAAATCTGTGCTCTTACACAGCCCTCTGAACATATTTACCATACCAATTGCATTACAACTTGTCTGTGATGATAATATTTACCAATTGAATACGGAAAGAGTATCTCATCACAATGGAATTTAACACCCTACTCTGGATTACATCTTATTTTGCACTTAGTTCAAAAACTAGTTCAAGCTGTCATTTACTTTTTATCTCCATACTGCAGTAGCAGCTGTTATCATTGCAGATTCCTCATTCTGTCTGTAAGGTGTGGAAAATGTTCTTAATACGGAATAACTGCCTCTCTTTGGACAGTTACTTAGTTGTCATCATACATACACACACACACAAAAAAAACAAAACCAACCAACCAACCAAAACACTACTTGAAGAAAAAATAATTAATCTAATACAGTTTTACTTTGGAGTCTTGCTGAGTGCTTTTGTCTAATATTTTAAATAATGAAACTCTGCAGTTAGATGGAACAACTGGGTCATCATAGCACTATGGGAACACATCAGCCACAGGACTGAAGTTTAATAAAGGCTTTTAAATTTAGGACTATGTTTAATAATGAATTTAACATATCACTTAGCTCATAATAAGGCATATATGCACGTATATCCGTAAGACTCATGAGCACGTGCAACTGTCCCCTGAAGACAACTGGAAAGAAGGATACTGGCAGAAAAATACTGTCAACAGCACAATCGGATCCCATGGAAAATATTCTCAATTTCCTGTTGATTTGAATTTCTAGAATAGTAATCAAATCATTTATTTTTCAGTTTCTCTTAATACTAACTAACTTGCTTCAAAGCACATATTTCTCATGTCTATTTGCTAGCAAAAAGACCGATATGACAGCTGGGTATTTGCTTAAATGACCTTAGAGCAGCCTGACTGATTACAGTTAACTGGCAGGTACTTGCCGTGTTTTTTCTTGCAGCACAGTTGTCCCCTGCAGAAAGATGTCTCCTGTGAAACCTGCATAGAAAGACATATGCTTCCAATTATCATTTTGATGATGTTAAGGTATCACATTCCTTTGCCTGCCTAAAACAGGGGCATTAAGTTCAGATTTTTAATGCCAGATGTCTGGTGTGCTGATATTTTCTGTTGGAAAGGGAGGAGTTTGTGCAATAGCTTTTTGAGTGGCAGCTGTTTCTCCAGACTGCAGTGAAATTAAAGTATTTGTCACTGAAAAAAAAAGAAAAAAGTTAAAAAAAATGGATAAAAAAAGAAAAGTAGTATTAAAATGTAGAATACACGCTTTTTGTCTTCAATTTTGTGCACATTGAGCCTAGGTTGATGTAGCCAATGAAAAGAAACAATATAAACAGGTGTTGAATAAGCCGTCCAAAGTATTCCTAAGACATCCTAAGCCTTCTAGGCAACTAGCGAGAGGATATATATAGTCTCTAGCTGCATCAGGGGAGGTTTAAGTTAGACTTTATGAGGCATTTCATCACAGAAAGGGTGATTAGACATTGGAATTGGCTGCCTAGGGAGGTGGTGGAGTCACCGTCCCTGGAGGTGTTTAAGGAAAGACTGGATGTGACACTTGGTGCCATGGTCTAGTTGACAGGGTGGTGTTCAGTCATAAATTGGATTCCATAATCTCAGAGGTCTTTTCCAACCTAATTGTGATTCTGTGATTCACCTAATTCTGTGATTCTGTAGGCTGATGTGTGATTAAATTACAGTCTCTGCGACAGCAATTGTAATTTTATCACTACAGTGGATTAGGAAAAAAAAAAAACAAACTAAAACAAAACACGTGTATTTCTGCTCTTAGGGAAGGGCAGGAGCCAGCACAGCATCGCATAACAGGGGGCACTGAACCAGCCCTCAGGTAACCCG